TTTTACCCCATTTTAACAAGACGATTTGACAGTATGCTGAAGTGAGTACATTTATAGAAATCAACTAGTTTGACCAAACACATATTTTTCATATCTTGGAGACTTATGTACTAATTATATCCATCATAAAGTAAATATCAACTAACACTAGGACTATTGTGTTAAATTCATTTGTTTGTTCATTCATTACAACTGCTCATCTCATTTCAGTGACATTTGGTGACTCACAACAATTAAAACAATATCCAAACTACAAAACAATAAAAACGTAAAAACATACAACCACCAACAAAACAGCAATAACACAGAAATATTCATAATAGTGATGTGTCAGCAACACATAATTGCAAGTGCAGGAAAAAAACTTTTCTAGAGGGAAAACGTTTATTACCCAATATTCTTTGTGATTCTTAGAACCAAAATATTAGTCATACTGCCCTAAAGCAGGCTCTGAAACATAATTTGAGATTGCCTCTAAAACATAATTCCTTCTGAGATGATGATGGATTCTCTATATGCTCTGGAGGATGTTATCAATCTCTTCTCTTTCTCTTAGTGGTCATCTCATCGAAGCAATCCAAAGAGTTTCTAGAAATAAATAATGCTTCCAGGCAGAGAATGTAAATCAGGGGTCCACAACCCCCCCCCCTTGGCCACAGCCCACTACTGTTTCAAACCAGGCTGCACTGGTGATGGGCAAGTGCGTGCACAAAGCTCCACTTGCATGAGTGGCAGGCAGGCACATGTACGGGAAGGTCCACTTGCATAAGCAGTGACTCCTTGCACTTGTGTGTGAAGCTCCACTCATGTGAGTGGAGGATCCTTGAGTGCAGGGTGCTTGTGCTCATATGTGAAGCTCCACTTGCGCAAGTGGAGGGTGCAAGCACAAGAGCTCTCCATTCGTGCAAGTGGAGCTTTGTGCATGAGAGCAAGCACCCTCTGCTCACATGTGAAGCTTTGTTTGTGAAATGTGTTTTTTAATATTATTTAATGCATACCAGCTTTGTAGAGCTGCAAACTATGTTAGTAGTAATCTTAAAGGAAGCTGCCAATTTCAGGCGCAGTACAATATGTCTTATACTTTATATAGTTTCCCTGGTCCTTTACTTTTTTGATTCTCAAAAAAATCTGAGTAAAAATGTACCAATTCAATTTCAATCAAAACATCTTTATAAAACATGCTTATGGGATTGTCCGACTGATTTTAGAGCTATTCCTACTTTTATTGCTATTAAAAATTATTGCTCTACAAATCACTGTGGAATATCTATGTTAACACAAATAATTTAGCTGCAGCTAAATCATTTTATAATGTCAGTAGGCAAATGTGCACTTAAAAAAAGAGGGATTCTTATTATTTAGGTTATATTATATTAAAATGTTAAATCTACTTAGAATGTTTATGCATGTCCAATTGAATTTTGTGTCATAGAAAGGCAAACATTAAGCATAGCATTCATTGCCAGTCTTGCATCGCTGATGTAAGTGATAACTTATCTTTTGCGCCAAGGTTGACGTAAGTGATAAGGCTGTATATCAAGGTCACCAGCTTCTTATTCTAATGGCAGGGAAATGGGCTTTATTTCTGCACCACCATAATTTAAAGGCTGCAACAGAATCAAAGAAACTAGTCGCGCCGGTTCAAATTTGTTAATAATAATACATTACAGCAATACTTTTTATGCCCAAGGGAATAATTTAATGCCTCACATAGGTTTGGGAATGGTGGTATTAAATAACTATTTTGAAAAAGCTTTTAAATGTTTTAAAATCAAATCTCATTAAAACTGTTCTGAAGTCCCATTTCATAAACTTTTGTATTCGTGTTTTAAAAATTTATCACTAATGAATTGTGGAATCTAAACTATTTTTTTAAAGAAACAAAATTGTCCTTGATAAATTATTTCATCTAAGTCACTTATATAATAGAACAGATCTGTGATAAAATTTAATCTGCAATATAGCCAGCAGAATTAATGTTTAGTAATAACTTTTACATTCTTTAACCTATTTAAATTCCATTTCAGAAAAGGATCACAAAGGGGATGATACCCTGCATAATGAGTTATGTTTTAAATTTTGTTATACCAGTAGAAGAGAAGATAATAAAAACTAATACCACAAAAAAATTGTTCAAATTCAGTCCATCTTAAAACTGGCTGATGTATGGGGGGAAGGTGAGAAAGAATATAGGATGACATGAATATAATATGTGGATTCAATTTTGAATTAGAAATCTGTACTATACTAAACTTGAAAGATTTCCCAAACACAAAAGCATCCATCAACAGGTATCTGAATTTTCACCTAGTTTCATATTTGAATTCAGCATCAGCTACGAAGTCTACAAAGTCAGTATGTCATCCATAATACTACTATCTTAGTTCTCCTTTGTTATAATTATTTGAAAACAAATGGTTGCTGCCTTTTTGTTTATACTTCCATAGACCAAACTCAACTTCTTATTCTTTACTGTCTTCTTTTTAATACCTTTTCATTTTATTAGGAATTGATTTGAAATGAGCAAAATAATGTTATTTTTATTAACTCAGCTCACTTGTTCATTGCAAAATGTTTATAACACCATTTTTGTTTGGAAAAGACAAGAAAAAATATGTATTAGTACTGTTTGCAAGCACTGCAGCAATACAATAGTGTAAATCAAAAAAACAGAAAGATGGTTTATCATATAGTTGTGGTAAGACCTGAAACATTTCTGGAATATTAAGTGTTTCTTTTAATAATTTATGCAGGCATTTTGAATCTTTCTGCATAAGCTATCAGGTGCAAGTAGATTGCGTTAATGCTGCTTAAACATTTCAACTTGTCAGTATGGCTAACTCGATTTGCAAAATATTTGCAGTATTTCCCATCGAAACAGTAATAAAGGTAAAATAAATATATGCCACTGCTTTATAATCACTGAGCATTAATGAATATTTTATATCTTTTAAAATCTCACTGTTTAATTTTAAGGGATGAAATTAAGTCTTTTTACGGAATATGCCAATTATCTGCATATCAAACAATAACTCAGCTATTATACTTCTTTTTGTTAAGACACAGGAAGCTAATTTGAAAATACTGGGTAGCATTTTGGAAAAATAATTGAATAGACCTTCCTGCCCTCTGGTGGTTGACAAGTGAAAATTGCCCATAAAATTAAATTACTACTGATTTAGTACACATAACTTCCTAATTTTTTAAAAATATTTAAATGAAAGGAAGAAATTTTAGAACTAACTTCAGAAAGTGAGGGTTAGTACATGGTCAGTTTAACAGTTCAGTCAAAGATGAAATTCAGTTTTTGAATTGAAAGAAAATACAACTAATAATTTAGACTCATTCTGCACATAAACACCTCTCAAAATTCTACATCATAAATAGTTTATGATGGAGTAGATCCACTCTGAGTATCATGGTGTTATTTTCTGGAGAATGCACTGTTATTTAGTTTCAACTAATGAGCAGTTTGGCCATACTGTCTCATAAAATTTGTAATAAAGCTAAACTTATCAGCACTACTAATATTTTAACCTGTTGCCCCTGAAATTAATGACAGATATTTACTAAAAGTGGACAAGATTCTTGTTCAAATTTTCAAGGCCTGTGTAATTTCATTTTATATTTAGCAATGGGGGTCAATTTTATGCGAGACAATTTTACGGGCCTTGGATAAATAGAGCAATCATGTCTATTTGATATTTAGCAAAATTGATTTTCATCCAAATTTGAAATGCTGGTATTTTTTGCAAAACAATTTTCCATTTGTAACTTACATAACAAGCAGCTGTAGTTGTACTACAAATAACATATGTTGCAATTAACTGGTTATATTGGTGTGTATGTATAATGTATAATGTATATACATACATGTATGTGTGTGTTATAATATATAGGTTGTTGAGGGGCTTCAAGATGTATATATGCATGTATGTATGTATGTATGTATGTATGTATGTATGTATGTATGTACGTACATATGTATGTATATAACTACTTAGGTAATGATTTTATATAAAGAACTACATAAGATACAAAAGTTATTTTAGCCAATAGGTTCATATTCTTCATGCTGATCTTAGTAAGAGTCAAATAAATGAAAGGAGGCTAATATTCAAACCATTCTTTTAGCTATCCCATTCCAGCATCAACTCCTATGAACGAAGCATGCTGCTAATACTGTAACAACACAAATATAAGTATTGATAGTATTTTAAAAAGTGATAATAATATAGATCTTTTCACACATGCATTGGCTTCTTGAGAGGCAAGCCACTGTGTTAAATGAGGATGGGAGATATTTCATACAATAATAAAAGAAAGAAAGAAAGATACTCCCATTTGGAATCCTTGTGTATATAGTAGGTTGGAATTAGTAAGCAAAAAAAAAAACCCTTCAAAAATCTGATTGCTCAATTTTTGATATACAACAAGGTTATGACAATATTGAATTTTTAGTTAAAGGCAATTTACTACTTTAGGAAGTGAATCTGTCTTTTCAGGACGAATTAGCAAGGAACTCTTCTTTGCAACATCACCCCTTGGTGGCTGTTTTATAGAATGACAATGAAATTGTTTCTAAACAGAAATCATTTTTCTGCAAACCCACTCCTAATCAAGATTATGACAACTAGCAATGCAACTGATGCAAGAAATACCTAAGAATATAAGAAAACTGTGTATAATTTTAAATAAAGGAAGAAGAATCTCTATCAGACAGCCCTACCTCACCTTCGGGGAAGCTTTTTAATACTCTAAGGCATCATGCTCACAAACAAACAACCGCTTTGGGGTAAAATTAATGCAAATGTTATATGTGGGTTACACCATCTGATGTACCTACAGTAATCTTTCATCATCCACTTAATTAAAAGCTAAAAACCTAATAATGAAACATGAAAGGAAGTATGCAGCCTGAATACATAAGCCCTCTTTAACAAAGCTGACACTAGTTATAATGAGCGACATTTATTCTTCAGCTGCGAGACAGAGCTCACCTCCTGAATGGTACTGCTTCCTGAGAAGTTGAGGTTGTACTCCCGCTGGACTTCTCGATGGGTGACGATCAGCATGAAGTTTTGATTTAATGATTCCTGCAGGGCACTGAAAGGGTTGAAAGAAAAACAAGAATATCAGGAGTGAACATGTTCTAACTTGCTTTACATTTAGCTGTAAAACCCCAGGAGTACCCTAAACTCTGCAGAGACAGGTCCAGGCACAATGTTATCATTTTCTTTTTTGTTCTTAAAGACAAGGAAGCAACTGGAGAATGACCAAGGGAGCTGACCTGTTAACTCTTTCTAAGGTAGTTGAGGGTCTCAGGCTATATTTCAACTCTTTAGAATTTTTGCAACACCGTTCTTACTGCAATTTTTGCAATACTGTATGTACACAGAGACACAATATCAATCTGTCTCATATACAACACACTCATATTAAGAGACCTCTACACTTTAAATTAAGTTCAAATTAAAAGCTTTGATGATGCTTACACTGTTTACATACACACAGATAATTATCCATTCATGTGTCAAGTTTGTGTATGTATGTGACAGCTATGCTTTTTGGCTAAGCATGGCAAATGTTTATAACTGCTATCCAATTAGTTGCCAGTAAGCATGCGGAAAATTCAAGGATTCACTGATTATCTCAGGAAACACCAAATTAATTTGACTCTATTTCACCTCCTAATTTCATATTGACAACCAACTGTTCATCTTTCGAAGACAATCTGGGAGAAACCAGAAATTATAAAATAATAAATCTCAGTTCTCAGAAATAGTAGGAATACTCATTTTTTTTCTTTCTAATTATGGACATTACTGTCTCATAAATTATGCCAAAAACAAGATAAGTCAATTGTTAGATATTCTTGATTTGGATAAATGTTAGAAATAATTACGTAACTGTCCTTGGTTTGAACTATTTATTAATCTCGGTAAATATAGACTAATAAAACAATAGATTCCAAAAAGCCCTAGTGAGTGGGAAGTATTTCAGTTCGGTCAGAAGGTTCAAAATTACTCATATCAATTTATCAGCTCAGCAACCCATATTAAATTCCATGCTGTTCCAGAGAGTCTCTCAACCTACAGAAGAAAGGACTAGATGGGAATAAGGAGACAAAAATCATTTATGTATTTCATATAAACCATGTTCCCCTCCCTATATCATCTCGGAAAACTGTTGTTACTGATAGAACAGAACTGATAGGGCAAGCCACTAACGTATAAAAACCCCATTCCCCTCTAGCATAGTGATATTACCTAGTTTGGTAATGAAATGTCTGTAAGAAAACAACCAAGCTGAAAGAACACCAAGGATCCCAAAGCTGTGCTTAGAAAATCAAAGCACATACATTCAACTGTACTTTCAACATACCTCTGGTCCGTTACACTACTGTGAAATTTCTTTCCATAGTTTTTTCATGTTATGGAAGAGAACATCAGTCAGCCAGGATTATAGGAAGCCATTTTATTCAGCTTCTAATAAACAGTTATTTTCATTCTGGCAAAGAATGATGCACTATTTGATTTAAGTTTATTTCAGTATTATTGCACACCCAAATTGTTTGAAATTGAGGTAGGGGAATCTCAGGCAGCACAATTCTATACATGTTTACTTGGAAGTAAATTGCATTGTTCTCATTTGAATATACTCAGAAATTACTGTCCATAAGATTGCTGCCTAAATGTGATACAAAATGGTTTAGTCAACAAAATATATTTAAAGTTCACAATAACACATTTTCCAACGTAAGTTCTGGTGATGTAAAGCAAAACAATAATTGGTTCTTTACAGCGTTACATCAATACACATTATTCTCGTTAGAAAACCTAACAAATTAGATCAGACTCTAATTTGCTTGATAAAAATCTACAAGTACATTGGCCAATGTAATATTGTAATATTCCAATGAAACAAATCGTTAAATCAGGTACTTCTTAATCAGAGTTCATTGAATATTAAATTCAAGTATTTAGAATATTTTTAGTATCTATATTCTTGAGAATAATCACCGCTGACAATGGATACATACACCTACTGGTGAAATAGATAGAGATATCCACGTGCATGCAGACACACATATATGCACAATTATACATTAAGAAATGTATAATTCAGAATTTCAGTAAAATTATACTTATTAATTACCTTATTTTAACCACTTTTTTCTACTGAAGTACTAAACATTTGAAAGCACTTAGTTATTAACAAGTATAGTACTGAAACTTACTGAAGTTAGCTTCTGGAGGCACCAGGCCTGAAGATGACGAATGAGACTTCGTCGAAACGTCGCCAAGACATCTCCAATTTTACGCGGGAGAAAACCCGAATAACTAGAGACCTACTTACTGAAGTTAGTTTCAATAAGATTTTTTTGTTGGACAGTAAGTCTCACAGACAAACTATTCCATGTAATTATTTCCTTCATTATCTTTGGTCCAATAAAAATATATTTTCTGAACTTTCTACTTGCATTTTACAGCCATTAAAATCTTCAGATATTGAGTTAAATTTAGCAACAAATCATATTTTGAGCTGCAGATTTTTAACTTTTGTAGCCTAGTTTTCTCATTTCATCTCATTCCCACCCCATCCCCCAAATAATGAAAAATATTTAGCTGTGCATCTATTTATATGACTGGCAGTTTAGAGCTAACTTACGCTCTTACTCTTCTATTAAAACGCTCCTTCCTCCATGTGTTGATACTGTATGAGATTATCTTTATGGATCAGAAATAGAGAATCTTGCACAATTGCGGCAAAACTGTGAAGTGATGATTTCAATATGCTTCTCCATGGCTTGCTTAAAAAAAACCCTGAATTCTATCTGAAATAATGTTGACCTCTGGAGAATCAAAAGACAAAAATTGTTTAAACTTAAGTTGAGGATTCAATAGAAGAATTGTTTCCTCCTTTCCTCTCTACATGAAAGTATCTTTTTCATCATCTCTTATAGTAGCACAATCAGTAAGCCTGGTACCCTATTTTTTCTCTCTAAAAAATAAGATGTTTATTAAGACACCTTCTGAAATTGTATGGAAGATAGTACAAAGAACTACAAGGCATTTCATTAGAAGCCACATTTGGCTTCTCAAAGAAAATTATTTTATATAGCCTACATTTTTAAATTAATATTTAGTGTAATACAATCGTGTGTGTATGTGTGTGTGTGTGTGTGAGAGAGAGAGAGAGAGAGAGAGAGGGAGGGAGGGAGGGAGGGAGGGAGGGAGGGAATTATTTTGAGTTCAATGGATTTTAATCTAGGCAATTAGAATATACTACATTATTATTCCAGTTTAATCCCACAGAGAGCCTCTTCATGAATTTCAGTAGAACAATATCCATTATTCATCATATCAATTCATTTTTCTTACCAAACATCTACATTTTAACAAAATATCATGAAACATAATAATTAACATTTCTATTGCAAACATTCAGATTTATACAAGCTCATGTCGCCAGTCATCCAAATGTGCTGTAATTACAGTTTATTTACACTAAAACAAAATATGAAGTCACTATGTAAATGTAATGTTTGTTGAAGCTAATGCAGCAATAGCAAATTAGTTTAAAACAGCAATCACTCAGAAAGCTTTTGTTTACTTTATATCCTGAATGCTAAACTATTCCGTGGGACTAATTCATAGTCACTTCTCTTGTGACTATATAAATTTAATAAATTAAATAAATATATAAATTTAGAAGAACTGACCTGGATTTATGTAAGTTTATTTCGCCTAAGGAAATAAACCCAAATTCTATGTTTTTTCAACTGCTGGAATATATTAGCCTCTACAATGTAAAGTTGTTTTTATTTCAAAAGCAGTTCTTTTCAGTTTTGAAAGTAGATCATTCATTATCCATCAGGGCATACTATTGTTCAAGAATTATTTTTTAAAAATCCTTCCTCTGCTGCATGCAATCTTGGGATACTACCAATGTTTAATTTAGAGCAGGGGTGTCAAACTGGTGGGCCACACAGGCCACACCCACCCCAGCTCTGCAAAGGGGGAAAACATCATGAAATGTCACATAACAGCAACGTGACACGGCAAGTTTGTCACCTGTAATTTAGAGTATCTGAGCATTTATTAAAATTTACAACTGAATGCAGTAAAAACCAGTAAGGAAAGTTTAACTTTGTATAGAAAACTCCAAACCATCAGCCTATGAAAATTAAAAATATGGTAATATTTCATATGATACATAAACAATGCTAAAACCACAGTTAATGTAATAAATGGTCTAGAAACAATACTGAAATGCCTAGTGAATAAAAAGGTATTTCAATACAAGTACATCCTACATGTACCAAAATGCATGTAAATAACCACATCAAAACTCTCCAACTGCCAAATATTCACCTTGTCAAACTGCTGATAAGACAATTCAACTAGGATCACATGCAAAAAAAACCATTTTAAACCTCTTACTTTCCCTTTAATTTGAATTTGAAAAGAGTAAGTTTTGTGCCATGGTATGTTGCTAAAACAATTGATTAGTAGGCCGAATCATGTTATAATTTGAGTAAATGTTATACTGTCTTTAGTTAATGACCTCTAATCAAGTTGTCATTTTTTGCTTTGCATTCACACTTCTTTCCAAACTGCTTTAGCTTCAGAATACTCACAACTCTCTGTCTTTCATACAAATGAGAGAACTGGCTGCAGGCACAGACTTCATTTCATGGGATCTTAAAATTTATTAAATGTTCTTACTCCATCAAGTCCTATAGATTTGTAACTGTATTTCATCTTGTACCACAAATTTTCTAAAACAACAATTTTTATTATTGCCAATTTCAATAATCATGCTTTGTCAAATATAACTGGAGAAGCTATGAACGCAAAACATAACTATAAAAAATTGTTGGTTCTGTTGAAATAATTTGGAATATGAAATAATATGAAACGATTTCTGCATGGCTTATGCTCTTTATTTTACTTGTAAAACAAAATAAGAATCCTTAGCCCAACCAGTTTAGAAAATGTAGGATGAAAAGAGCTGGAAGAGATCTTACAATTAAAATGGGGCATTGATTCTTACCTGATACGCCCCTTCTCCAGGCAGGTGGACACAGCAGCCATGCATGGGTTAACTCATCCAGTAAACAATAGGACTGAGTCTACCAAAATGATAAATAATTTGGGAGAGACAGGGGCCGACTCTAAGCAACGGTACGATGATACTTTTGCCAGTGGACAGTCCTTTTGGACCTGAACCGTCTCGAAGAGACGGTGACAAGGAAGAGTATGTCTTGCTGATCTCAGGGACATCGCAAAGTCCCTGATTGATCCAAGAGAATCTCTTCTTGCCGGCGACAGAAGCACAGCCAAAAGCTGCTGAAGTTGGGACAGCTCCGCAACGGGAGGAAAGCGGAAAGAGAAAGTGTGTCCATCTGGTGAGGAAATTTTATTGTTATAAAAGAGACTGCCCCCCAAAAAAATCAAAGCTAAATTAAACTTGCAAAGAAAAGAAAATAAGTGGCGAAATTAAGCTATATTGGACAGTGTGTTATCCTTTTTTTTTTTTCATTTTCTTTTATGGATGGAAGGTTTGCAAATATTTCCTACTTTTTAAAGTGAAAGTATTGGTTTTACTTCTTCTATTTCTTTTTTTACCTATGGATTAAATCTTTTTCTTTATTTTTATAATATTGGTTTGGATGGGTTTTTTCTCTTTATTTTGCTCCATTTAAGAATATTGTTTCTTTTAAGTCTGGAATATAAAGAAGCTATAAAAGGAATATAAAGAGGGTAGTAACATCAGAGGGAAAAGAAGTTAGACTGCCACTTGGAGGTTGGAGGTGGAGTCCTGGAAATATTGCTTTCTCTTTTTTCTCTTTGATCATTTTGACTTTGCACTTCAAAGGCTTCAGCTTGTTAACAGAAGAGGTAAGAGAAGAGCATGGGTTGTTTATACAGGTGCTCTTTGGATGCTTCTTTGACAGCTGGAGAGAAGTGAAAACAAAACCTTGTTTTGAAACTAGAGTGGCAGTGTTTACTAGTTGGAAGAATGGCACAACACCAAAAAGAAACCATAACATTACAACAGATTATGTTTGAAATTCAAAAATTATTAGAAACAACAGAGGGAATTGAGAAGAGATTGGAAAATATACATTGTAATGCAGCAAAATTCGATGGAAAAATTGAATATATCCAGCAAATGGAAAAAGTGGAGGTTAGAGTCCTAAAAACCCAAGGGAAAAATGAACAAAGAGGCAAGATAATTGTGGATACTGACAGTGAATTGAGTGTGGTTGGAGATGGAAAGAGTGGAACATGGAAAGGGAAGATAGATGGAAAGGAACTCTACCCCAGATTTAAAGGTATAGAAGAAGAAAAAAGAGAAGAACTGATGGATTCAAGGAGAGAAACTTTGACAAAATCACTAGTGATAACCAAAGGTAAGCAGATGAAAGAAGCTGATGGAGGGTCTCGAGATTTTACAAGATATGTAAAAAGCAACAAGTTGTGAAGAGAAGTCCACACAAATTTGATTAAGGAAATAACAGAAGACTAATTCCACAAATGGCAAAAGACATAAGACTGCACTATTACTGGAAAGACACAGGTTGAGATATGAAAACTAATAACAAAATATTAGTCAAATTTAGTTAAAATTAGAGCATTATGTTAAAAATGAAGTGATAATGGATATAGTTAGATAAATAATTGATAATGATAACAATGTACACATATGTATTGGTTTGATAAGAGGAAATTTGGTATAAATTCTAAATGGTGATCATGAAAGGAAGTTTAGAAACTCTGTTATGTATGAAAGCTTATATTTTTTTAAAAAAAAGAATAAGTCAAATTTAGTTAAACTAAGACCCCACCCAAAAAAATGAAATGACGGATATTATTAAATAAATGATTGATGATGATAATAATGTAATATTTGTATTGACATGATAAAAGGGAAATTGGATATAAATTGTAAACAGTGATTAAGAAAGGAGGTCTAGAAACTTTGTTATTAAACATAATTAATTTTTATTTAGAAAGATGTAATGTTGCTGGATTATATTGAAAATAGATAACGGAATGCCATCATGTGGTTTTGCTTTAAATTTTGGAATACTTTACATAAAGGGATGTAAAAACAATTATAGTCATGAAGATTGAGGTATGATGATAGTAATATATATAAATATATTTGATTTAAAATATATAACTTGATATGAATTGTAGATGATGACTGTGTAAGGGTTGCACGAAAGCTCTTTGTAACCAATTGATACACTCTTTACAATTTGTAATGGAAGATATTTTTGTGGTATTTGTTGTGTTTTGTCTCTTTGTGTTTATCAAAAATAAAAAATTATAAAAAAAACAAAACGATAAATAATTTGGAATGTGAAATAATTTCTGCATGGCTTATGCTCTGTTATTTTACTTGTAAAACAAAATAAGAATCCTTAGCCCAACCAGTTTAGAAAATGTAGGATGAAAAGAGCTGGAAGAGCTCATACAATTAAAATTCCCTGTTCTAAAAGCAGGGTTATCATCTCTACTACTAACTACCTCTCATCAATTTACTCCATCCATACCTCTCAATTTACTCCTGGAACAAAGCTTAAAAATCTAATAATAGCAGTCTTTGAAAAATTCTCATTTAAAATCTATTACACACACTATCCTTTGCATATACAGTAGAACCTCTGGTCACAAACACTTCTGACCATGACCAAATTGGTTTCCCCTTCCAAGCCATTTTTTTTGTAAGTGCCAAATTTCCAAAATTAGGTTTGAGTCACAACCAAATCAGGTTGCGACCAAAGTTATGGAATTAATTATGGTCATGACTAGAGGTTCAACTGTATATGGTTTAAAGATAGTAAAATTTGGATAACCTCAAATATGCCATTTACATGAAGCCCTATATTTTACACTCACTTTTATTTGTGACTTACCCTGGCAAACTTGATGAAGATGGTGGTGGCAAGTCGGGCGTTAGGACATACAGGTTGTTGTTTTTGGGCAAGTGTAGAGTTTTTAGAATAGTCTGCAAGAAAAAAAAATATTTAGAATTTAGAATGTTTCTATGAGGGTGTGAATCTGAAATGTAAAGCCAAACTGAGGCAAAATTATATGTCATTAGCAACCACAATTCTATGAGTTAAAAAAAAGACAAGAGAGGAAGAACAATTAATAAAAAGCACAACCGGAATCTTATTGAATCCTGATGAAAATCTTTCCCCCACACACAAACAAAAATCCCACTGATAGTAATAATTGGTAATATTTAAACATTTTGTTCAGTCTTGCCCTTAGTGGGTTTCATTGCAATACAACTACATATAACACATAAGGTACAATTTAAAATTCTGCCAGTCAACAAGCTTTCTTCTATTATCAAAGAAATCAACAAACTTTCTTCTATCACTAATATCTGTATTAATTTCCGAAGAAACACAGCAGCCCTTCTTTATTGTGAAAAGTCTTACAGTCATGAAGCTAATTAATATTGGGTGGCATTTGTAATATAAAAAAATATTCACAATGATTCATTCTAGTCTTCAATACCAGCATCTAAATGATGCTGCTGATCTATCAACTGAATCTCCCAAGAAAACCAAACAGGAAACACAACCAGGAGAGCTAATTATATTGTTATAAGGCTAATTTAACAGAATCTTATTTTATTTTTGTTCGTTTGTTTATTTTTTCTCATTTATGAACCACCAATCTTCCTCAGAGAAACATCAAAAAACATAAAAAAACATAAAAATGCAAAAATAGTATATAAAAATTACAATGTTAATATTAAAATTTCAATTCAATTTCAAAATTAAAATTTTCAGGCGGAAAGAATAATTAAGCCCTGTTAAAAGTTAATTAAAAAGACAAATGGGGGGACTCTCAGGGCATCAACCAGTTTCATAGCAGAGCCATATTTTAACTCCTTTATGGAGGGCTAAGAAAGTGGGGCACTGCCCCACTTTGGGGGGGGAGGGAAACTATCTTGCAAATCGAAAGGTACAAATCTCCTGCTGTCACTTTTAACCATCAGATTAATTAGGACAAGACCTTCCTAAATTTCTTTCTCTGACCATTAATCCACTAGGAGCTCCCTCCTCTCTTGTCTGATACTTTCCTAGGATACATCTCTTCCCCTCATCTTTCACCATTACACTTGGTAAGACCATGTGGCTTTGGGCTTTAGGGCCTTCTGGACCTTGGATCTTCCCATGTTTAGTACTGGATGGGGCTGCTCTGCTCCCAACAGACCTGGTATGCAATTTGGGGATCCTTCCAGGGGAGAGGGCAGTTGGGAAGGCCCTGGGAGAGACCACTGCAGGAAATTGGGCTGCAGGCACAGAGTTAAAATCCAGAATGTTTTAGTTCCATTCCTTTGTCCACAGGATGGGGTTCCAGGAACAGTGTTGCAGGAGTTACTGAGTTGCAGGAACAGTGTTAAAATCTTCAGCAAAAGCACCCTTTCTGAGGCCACTGTGATTTTGAGTCGTTGTTAAATACTAGTCATAAATTGAGAAATGCCTGTAATTTTCCAGATTCTAGGCTTGATTTGTAAAGCTCTCCATAAATATTAATCCTGTGAATCAGGGGTGGGTTTCTGCCGGCATTACTGCCAGTTCAGTGTGCTCGTGCACAGTTGCCTATAAATAGGTCTGTGCATGCGCAGAACATTTTAAAAGGTCAAAAAAAGATGTTGCAGCAACCGGGGAACCGGTTTGGGGACATGGTGAGCATGCCGTCCCCATCGGTTCGGAGACCCAGTTGCCATTTCCACTACCGGTTCCACTGAACCAGTGCAAACTGGTAGGAACACACCTCTGCTCTGAATCCTCAAGGGCTTCTACAGCAAGTTCAGTTTTTATCAAAAACACAAAATATATAGTGACACAAGCTCCGCCCTTTATGAACTTGCATGCAGTGTCACAATGAACAGACTAAAGGTCTGCGCAGTTTCCACTGCAAGACAAATGTTGCCATTTGCCTTCTCTGCAGATAGCCATGCAAACCCACCTACTATGTTCACTTAATGGGAAACTGCCACCTTAGATATCTGAGAACCATCTGGCCCTTGGGTCAAAAAAATTTGTTCGGACTATCCGGATCCCAGATCTCTGACAACAATTCCACTGTTAGACCTGTTTTACATTTCATCTGGAGATCCCAAAGACTGAACCCAAGCTCTTCCACATATAAATATGTCTCCTCTGCCATCCTTTTATATAGCAAATTAATTGTATGTTGCATGTCACTGGTGGAGATATATAGTGGTGCTGCACCTTCATGCATGATTTATGAATCATAAATCCAAAGGCACTTCAGAGATAATCAAGTTTCCCCACAACCACTATCTCACGGTGGAATATAAATACAGCACTGATAACAAAATGCCATTCAGTTTCTACTTCAATAAATCAATTTATTTCAGTAAATGATACACTGGAAAAGATAAATCTTGATTGTTATATTACCAGAACCAAGGCAATATGACTACAACTTAATCTTCATTATTTTCGGGGGGGGGGGGTTCCCTGTCTTTTTTTTCTCATATATAACGAGGTGGCACATTTATCAATACTCCTTCCTCCTACTATTTCCCCCACAACAACAACCCTGTGAAGTGAAGTGAGTCTGGCTGAGGGAGAATGATGGCCCAAAATCACCCAGCTGGTTTTTCATGCTTAAACAGTCTCCCGGTTTCTAGGCCAGCATCTTAACCACTGCACCAAACTGGATCTCAATGTTACTTAATGCTTCTTTTAAAAACGGGCATGTTACATCGCTGCTTCTTTTCTTCAGAGGAAAGGTGGGATCATCAGAAAATAATCAGGAACACTCAGTTGCACACAAAGTGCTAAGAAGTGCTCCGTTTCAATTTATATGGAATATACGTGGGAAATGCCATTCAGGAGATGGGTGGGATGCCATTTTATGACTGTTGTGACAGAGTTATTTATAAGTGGGTATCAGTTGACCAAAGCCTATGATGATAAAGAAGGTAATGTCATGTTATATGACCTGGGCTTTTTTTGCAGTTTGTGGAACCCAAAGAAGTGGAAAGAGTTATCTGTCACCTATGCCCTGGATCCATGTCTTTCTGACTACTTCAGGCAGCTAGATGGGACAGCAATGGATGGATCAAGGTGGTTGTTAATGTTTCTTTGAGGGAGAGGGTGATGCTTCCTGCTTTGAATAAAATGCTTATATGCCCATTCTTGAGGAAAACATTCCTGTATCCAGCTGGTTTTGATGACTTCTGTCCCTTTTTCTTTAATATTCTTTCCACAGAAATATATGCTACCATTCATAAACAGCTGAGGAACAGCTAGTTAATGTGCTTTCAGTTTCAGTTGGCAGTTTATGAATAGCCAATCTTGGATTTTATCATAGGTTCTATTTTTGTTTTCCTTTTGTGGTTCATTTTTGTTTTAATATTGGTTTGGATTTAATTATTACTTTTGTAATAATTAATAATAATATAATAAAGTCTTTGAGATGGCGGCAGATTATGTACTGTTGATAAATAAACGAGTACCATATAAATGGCGTAGATAAAAGAAGTATTTATAATGAGATAGAGAAATCTTTCTATTGCTACTTGGAACAGGAACTAAAGAAAGCTGTAAGTAGACAACTGAAAAGATCTGTTTCCTATAAGTTTTTTGTAACCACTAATTTAGAATAAATAAATAAATAAATAAATAAATAAATAAATAAATAAATAAATAAATAAATAAATAAATAAATAAATAAATAAATAAATGGGAAATCTTCTGTTTTTACACAGTGTACAGGTAGTTCTTGTAACAGTGACTGTTCAAAGTTACATCACTAAAAAAGTGACATAACTATTTTTCATATTTGTGGCCTTTGCAGCATCTCAGGTAACATGATCAATATCCAGACACTTGACAATTGATTTACATTTATGAGAGCTGCAGTGTCCTGTGATCACCTTTTGTGACCTTCTGACAAGGAAAGTCAATGGGTGAATCAGATTCACTTAACAATAATTATTAACTTAACAACTGCAATGATTCATTTAACAACTGTAGCAAAAAAGGTCATAAACTGAGGCAAAACTCACTTAACAAATGTCTCATTTAGCAACATAAATATTGGGCTCAATTGTGGTCATAAGTCAAGGACCATCTGTATATCTTGTGTGTGTGAGACCATCAGAAGGTGCCATGTCATCCTTATTAGGAATTTTCAGATACAGAATATTAAAAGAATATTAAAATTCCTTGCAATTGAAGGAACAGCATATACTGCCCTAAATATTGTCCAAGTTAACTACTGTCAAAGTTAAATGTTATCCTTGTAAATATTGTGCCTTCATTGTACAAGCAACCGTGCCTTTAATCCAGAATATTTTAGACATTGTTGACATATCAGCATTAATTGGCAAAAATGGTCCATGCGGGGGGGGGGGGGGGGAATCCTGTAACAAATATAAAAACTTACACTATCATCTACATCTCCAGTCTTCCAGCCCTTTAGCAATATTTTCGATGCAGGAATCTGAAGCTCATTTTCTAAAATATGTTTGATCTCTCCTGGAAAAACAAAAACAAAGGAGACTCATCAAAAAACATTTCTGCTTTTTCTGATTTATTTTTATAAAGCATAGGCAAAATAAAATATAAGCATCTCAAGCATTACTCAATCAATATATTTTAAATGTATGTCTTTAAATATCAATTTATCTCCATAAACGCATATATAATAACATTAAAAATGGAACACTGAAAAAATGTTTAGGATATAAAGAAGAGAAATGAAAAATAATAATAGATTTTACTTGAAATGCCATTGAATTTTGATATTGTTTTTCCCACTTTATGTAAAAAGGATTAAAGGAATTCAGATTTCATTTCTAAATTAAAACAAATGGATCTTTTGATATGTCAAACTCAAAAATATGGCAGGGGTGTCAAACTCGATTTCACTGAGGGCTGTATCAGGTTTTGTTTGACATTGGTGGGCCATGGTGGACATTGTCAGGGTGGGCATGGCCTACTCGACATCACTCATATCAGGGGCACCTGTGGTGGCCAAGTGCTTGGGTAGCACTCCCCTCAGACCCTCCCTCACTCCCATTATAATCTCCTTACTTCCTCCCTTCACTCTCTTCTTTTTCCTTCCTTCTTCCTTTTCCTTTCTTCCCTTCCCTTATTTTTCCTTCCTTGCTCTCTTCCCATCTTTCCTTTTCGTTCCTCTTTTTCTTTCTCCTTTCCTCTCCTTTCTTGCATGCTCAAATGCAACAGGGGAAACATTTCTTCTTTTGTCTTGTTTATTTTGCTAGCCCTCTGCCTGTAAAAATGGAGCTCTGGCAGGCCGCGCATGCCCCAGGTCCCATTTTTGGCCATGATGGCTTCCTGCAGCCCTCTGCCAATGAAAACGGAGCCTGTTCCCCCATCCTCCAAGCTCCATTTTTGCTGGTAGAGGAACTACAGACCAGTCCTTTGCTGTTTCCAGGATGGCCCCATGGGCCAGATCTAAGCACCCCACAGGCCGGATCCAGTCCATGGGCCTTGAGTTTGACACATGGTTTAGGGTATATAATTTGCACTAGAAGTTTGCTTTCTATGATATATAGCAATAGCAGTTAGACTTATATACCGCTTCATAGGGCTTTCAGCCCTCTCTAAGCGGTTTACAGAGTCAGCATATCACCCCCACAGTCTGGGTCCTCATTTCACCCACCTCAGAAGGATGGAAGGCTGAGTCAACCTTGAGCCGGTGAGATTAGAACTGCTGAACTGCAGATAACAGTCAGCTGAAGTGGCCTGCAGTACTGGACCCTAACCACTGCGCCACCTTGGCTCTTGTGATGCCAGTAATGGCGAAACTTTTCAGCACCAAGTGCCAAAAAGGTCGCATGGAAATATTATGTGTGCGCGCATGCTCATCAGGACTGCAGTCCGGAAAAGCCAAACTTCCATGTTCTGGCGTGCATGCATGCCTGATGATCAGCTGGTCAGAGCACATGCGTACACCTGTTTTCGGCATTGCCGCGCAGGTGAAGGGATCACGCTCTGGAAAAACTGAACTTCCGGGTTCTGGCACACATGTGCACCCGACAATCAGCTGGCCAGTGCACATGCGCACATGAAGGACAGCTGATCGTCGCACCTGGATGTGCACCAGAAACCCAAAAGACAAACAGGCAAGGCCGCACATGCTGGGCAACATGGCTTTGTGTGCCACTTTGGGCACATGTGCCATAGGTTCAATAGCAATAGCAATAGCAGTTAGACTTATATACCGCTTCATAGGGCTTTTAGCCCTCTCTAAGCGGTTTACAGAGTCAGCATATCACCCCCACAATCTGGGTCCTCATTTTACCCACCTCAGAAGGATGGAAGGCTGAGTCAACCCTGAGCCGGTGAGATTTGATTTTGGATTTGGATTTTTTGGATTTTATTAATATTTGTAGGCCGCCCTTTTCCCTGAGGGGACTCAGGGCGGCTCACATAAAATCGGGGAGGGGGAATACAGACATTAAGATAAAACATATAATAAAATAGTAAACAACATACATTCATCATTCGGGAGGGAACCGCTGAACTGCAGATAGCAGTCAGCTGAAGTGGCCTGTAGTACTGGACTCTACCAACTGCGCCACCTCACCATCATGGATATATGCTTTGGGCTCTAAAAACCTTCCTAAATTGTTTGAAATGTTTAAAATTTACACATAATATAAATACTAATTTTCCATATTAGCTAACAGCTACTTATTGAGACCAAATGCTTTTTCACCTTGATATATTCCACAATGAGATTCTTTCTTTCCCATAGTTGCTATTTCAGAAGTTTGAAGAAGGTATGTGAGGACTGACTCTTGACTTTTCTACATAAATGGATTCCGTTCCATCACTAAAATGTGGTCCTCAATATCACTCACATAGAATGTTAATTAACTGTTTTGATTGCTGTTAACAGAGCTAAAGGCTAAATTAGAGTAGAATTCTTTCCTTAAAAATCTTTCCATTTCTCTTCCAGATCAAAATTACTGTTTTGATTTTAAGCTCTACAATTTATTAGTTTCTTCAAAGCCATTTTCAAGCACTGTATAATGTGTGAATTGATTCTGAACAAGAGACAGATGGAAGGGATTAAAACACTATTGAAACACTAATGAAAGTATGGTCTTAGCTTAGTAAAAAGTGAAATTTAGGACATCAAAATAGAATGCAGTCTGGTGGTGTTTTTTTTACCCTTATCTCAATATATATTTATTTTTTCATATAAATCAACATAACCTGCTTAACCCCAAAGAGATACTGTGACTAATGTTCATATATATTTTCTCTTTATAATATATTTCCACATATAGAAAACTACTTCAGATGATTATGGAATTATGAGCAAAATCTCTAGAGATATCAATATTTTATATAGTTCTCTGGAAAACTTTTTTCAGAAGGAAAAATGCATAACTTGTTGACATGATACATATATTTCAGAAGGTATCATATTTCACCCTTTCATTCATGTCAACACAATTGTCTCTTAAACCCTGCTACTTTTAGAAAATTAATCGACTTCTATTAAAAAAAATCTCTCAAAATATAAAAATCCCCTGCCTGATTAAAAATGAGCATCTTATTAATCTATCAGCTAAAGTGATCTTAAAAACATCAATATCATTTTCTCATTTGGAGTTGTGCGAAATCAAAACTGAGACTGAGAACTTGAATTTCAACCAATCTCAAAAACAAGACACAACCCAGTGAAGAATTGAGCATAACAATGGATATGAAGTGAATAGCCAAACAAATAAAGTACCTGCTTAGCAAATAAAACATATACTTGCCACTAGGTGTCACTCTTTGATTATATATTACATACGGTACTCTTTCCCCCCCCTTTTTTTTTAAACAGTTCTGGGTAAACGCTTGCCACAATATGCCTATGGTTTTTTTATTGCATTTTAAAACTAAATACCCGATCCAAAGTCCCTCTTTGACAGAGATGGATGGTTCAGAAATGTGAAATATGAATAAACTAGACACACACTTATTTTAAAAGGAAACATTTGTTTGATATCACTAATCATACAGAGTGGGCAAAACTGTTTTAAACAAACATAGTGGTATCTTGGTACTCATTGTTAATTGGTTCTGGGAGGCATGATGAGTACCAAAACCAATGAATACCAAACAAATTTTTCCCAGAAGGAATTATACTGAATCACAAGGCAGCTGATACTAACAAGTTCTAGCTTATGTGTTGAGTACCAAAAAAACGATGAGTACCAGGACAATTTTTCAAGTCAAAATGTGTTGAGTACCAAATTCGATGAGTTTCAAAGCAGTTGAGCACCAAGGTACCACTGTAATAAAGTTACATCTTCTTTCTACCTAATTGTCCTAGCAAGCAAAATAATATATAAGTAATGTGAGATTAATAGATAGGAAAACTAGATGCTGCGATTCGTAACATTAATTCCAGCACAACAAACACTCTGTCTGAAAAGTGTAATGGAACAGTTTACAGCCTAATAGAAATCACTACATTTTGTAAATCAATGACTCCATGATGACTTTATAATGAGGGCAGAATTCCCTTTTCTTTCTGTCAAGATGATATTTCTCTTAATTCTGGCACCACTTCAAGCACATTATTTTGCAATCTTTAAACTGAATTTAAAAGCATACATGCTCTATGATTCTAACCTGTATAACAGAGATATTATACACTGCATTAACCTGGGTTCTGGTAACTTTGATCATTATTTTGTCCCATCATACAATTATTAATTCATATACTTAAAGAACTCAAGCATGTTTTTCCCTAGTCCTTGTTTTCCTAGACTAACACTAACTTTAATTTTACCAGTACTGCTTTTATAGATCTCCTCCCTCCCCTCCAAAGAAACATATCAGACTTCAGATAACGAATGGCTGAATAAATTTCTACTCTTTCAGAAATTAGATAACAAAAAGATAAAGCTGTAGAGCTATTAATTTATTTAAAAGATTAATATAACTGCCCATCTTTTTAACATAACCTGGCCAGCTCAGACAGTAATAAAAGATTCCACCACAAAACCACGTTCGACTAAAGAGCGCTCGACGAAACCGCGTAGCTGACGTCATCACAGCGCGACAACAGCACAGAGAAAAAAGCACGCTGTAAACGCTAAGCCTAAAATTAACCCCTAAACCTAAACCTAACCCCCTAAACCTAATCCTAAACCTAACCCTAAACCTAACCCTTAACCTAACCCTAAACCTAACCCTAAACCTAACCCTTAACCTAACCCTAAACCTAACCCTAACCCTTAACCTAACCGTAAACCTAACCCTAACCCTTAACCTAACCCTAAACCTAACCCTAAACCTAACTTGAATCGGCTTGCTTTCAAAGCACTATTTAAAGCGCCCTTCTTTCTCCGCGCTCACTGTTGTCGCCCTGTTGATGACGTCAGCGACGCACTTTAATCGGGTGCGCTTTAATCGAGCGCGGTTTTGTCGTGCCACGTAATAAAACACTATAAACAATTTTTAAAAGCATAAAAACCACCCCAACCACCAACCAAAAGCTAGATAAATTGCTTCCTTGCAGAAAAAAAAAATGTCATGTGAACAAACACCTCGGTATTACAGAACACACAGAGATCACCCTCAGGGTGAAATTATAAAACTTCTCCTGCCCTTTCAAGTCAATGGACTTTTGGCGCTGCTTTTCCCAAGCTTGAGATCGGAATGCACCTGTTGTGTGTTTACAAATCAGTTCTCCCTGGGCTTTTTAGAGCTCTGCCAATTTCAGCTCTTACACATATTTATATTATAGTTGGTAGATAAACTTGATACTTAGTTTGGTCTTGGTTTTTTTTCCCTTCAGTAGTTTCTTACCAACTGTAGAACTGTCTTCAAGCACCACATCCACATTTCGATCTCTGTATTCCACTCTGAAGTCAAGCATTCGTGGTTGTCTTTCCACTATTTGTCGGGATGGCACTACGGGACGAAATGCAGAAGAGGATGATGATGCTGAAGATGACGAAGGATGACTAGCAGGACCATAGGCAGGCCTTTGTAAAGATTCTCCACTATATTCACTGAAAAACATATCAGTTTGGTGTCAAATTTCCCAAATTTATGCACCCTCATATGCTTACACATATAAATCCAATAAACATAAACATAAACCTACATGTATTAATGCAAATTTTGTGTACCAGCCGTGGCAAAGGGCTTGGATTTGTACAAGCCACTTAGAATATGCATGAGGAATTAGTAGAACTGTCTGAGGCAGTCACAAAGTAGTTGACAAAGTGCTGAAAACTGAAAATGAACATATTTTAAAAAGTCACTGAACTAGACAGAACAGTACTGGAGTGTATTAAGTAGCAGAATATGATACTTAGGTCTACACCAAAATGTCCTGAACCAGCCCATGGACAAGAATAAATCAGCAGAAGACCTTCATGACTATAATAAAGAATCAGTCAGAAGGCCTGTTTAGACACAACATGATGTCCTTATGTAGAAGGTAAAATAACTGCCTTATAAAAGGTTGTGAAAATAAGGAAACTTGTGAAATACCAAAAAAACAAAGTGGCAATAATAATGAGGATGTAATCTGCTGTTTTCTTAAGCCTGCAACCACTAAGAATTTCTAAAGCAAGACTTCTTGCGAATATATATGTATGTATGTATGTATGTATGTATGTATGTATGTATAAAATGTGGCAAGAAGTCTTGCTTTAGAATATATATATATCACAGGTATGTATGTATGTATGTCTATGTATGTATGTGTATGTATGTGTGTGTGTATTTATTTATTTATCAGCACAAATAAAACACACACACACACACACACACACATATATATATATGTGATGAGAGCTAAATAGCTTGAAATAGATCTATACTAGTCTCCCTTTATTTATTTATCAGCACAAATAAAAATGTAACACAGGCAACAGTAAAAATATTAGCTTTCTGTCTGGATGGTCTCTTGTGACGAGCCGATAGACAGAGAATGGAAGCAATAGACCTCCTCCCATATTTGGGCATACCAGGGGTTGTGACACTAAATACATATACATATACATACATATGTACACACACATATACATATACATATACATATACATATACATATACACATACACATATACATATACATACATACATACATACATACACACATACACATACACATATACATATACATATACATATACATATACATATATATACATACACCACAGGTAAACAAAGATAAAAGCCAAAGATAAAACATGGGGCAGTTAAATATAGAATCCCTACTCCTTTCTTCCCTATTCATCTGAGCATATGATCAGTCTAATAATGAAACAGATTCCATTGACAATCATGTTACAATTAAGGATAAACCCATATTTCCTACTCTGCCTTACCTTTGCTTTGGGCTAGCTTCCATTATTTGATAATATGAATATTTATCACTGATTGACTGAGGCCTAAATAGTTAACATTAATGTTTAATATCAAGTTCCATTTTGCTTGGGTACCACATTTTATATCATCTCAATTATATCTCATACAAATTAAATGGTATTGTAACGTATATGAATTTTATTCTGATATTTGCCATGCCTTAATATCTTTCTCAAAGGTTTCTGCAAAGATGACTTGGTTATTTTGCTTTGTTGGAGAACCTGTTAAATAAATTTGAGTAGCTCTTAAGATAGGCAAATTCTTCAAACAACTGGTTTCACTTTATGAACATTATTTGAGGTTACTTCTATGAACAGTGCAGAAATGCAGCCACAGGTGGTAAGCATTTTGTTCCTGAACAAAAGCCTTTTGATTCTCAGAATTATTAGCCATAACTAAATAGACCTCCAATTAATTCTGCTAACATCATGACCGGCAACAATTTTAACAGTTGTCAGGAGTTAGTCTATCTTATATAGCCTAGATGCTTTTCAAAAGCACAATTATAATAATAAAATGAAATATAAATTAAACTGAAAACACTCAGTTTCAAATTTGCCTTTGTATTTGAAAGCAATGTAGTATCAATCTGACTATTAAATAAATACAAATAGTGCAAAATAGTGGTATATATCACAATAACTGATTTTAGTAATTCACTGTTCAGATATTTTTATTAACAAATTAAAACATCTGATAGGACATGCGGTTTCATTTTGATCCAATTTGCAAGTATAAAAATAAAATATATTTCTTCTTTTCCATATAGACATATCTAAAAAGTAGTTATAGAATATAACTAACACTGAACATTGATAATACAAAACACATCCCATCCACTAAAGGCTATATTGGGTTTCTGGTTTGTCAAATAATTTTTGATTTTGTAAAGCCTACATGGCTTTGAACAGGGATATACAATTTGCAGCCCCGCAGACTCCAGAACCTCTTCAAAACTTACTAATGCAATATAGGGGGGGGGAATTAATTGCACTGATTGCATTTAATATTATTATATTTTTAAGTAGCTTTGCCCTGTCCCTGTCCACTCTTTTTGTCTAGGGAGTTTTGGTTAAGGTTAGGAAATACTGTGGTATGTGTGCTCAAGTGTTTAAGAAACATTGGACATTCTTGGCTTAGGTCCAATTATCTGTTAGAGACTCTCTCCTTCCCTTTGTTCTTCAATGCTCTCATATGATGTGTCATGGCAATGCCAGCTGGTCTCTCTCTAAATGAGAAAAAACTACTATCATGGCCGCATACACACATAAGCTCTACTTGCAAATCCCTTTTCCTTGGAAACAAGGGAGGCAGGCAGGCAGGAGGAAGACATCCAATTGGGCACTATTATTATTTATATCTGAACAAATTTTTCATAGGTCACAAGGAGATTATATTTGGAATTCGGAAAAGATATTTAAATATTTTTCCTCTTATTTCTAAATTGAAAAAAAAAGGATTATCAGCAGTGTCCTACAAGGCAAGGAAACCATGAAAAACGTAGCTTCTGGAATTCCTTCCAATCCTTTACCAATATACATTGCTTATTATGCATGGGAAGGCTGCCCATATTTCCTCTGGGTCATGTCATCAGAAAGGAGAAAGGAAGTACAGAATGGAAAAAACAGCAGCATTCTGAGCTGCTGCCCATTCCCTCTCCCAGCAGGATCTCCTGAAGGTGTTGTTTTTCTTCCGCCTGACCCAATCGGTTTCTTTATTTTGCTTCACACCATATATGATCCTATTCTCTTCAGCTTTTGAAAAGTTATTTGGCTGAAGGGCACAGAGATCTGTCCATCTTTTACAAAAACATTATTGGACTGGGAAGAATTTTTTTAAAAGGTGTATGATTGAATAAGTCCCTGCTCATTGCTGCACGTGCCTTTGTGGCCTCCCGTTTGGACTACTGCAATGCACTTTAAATAGGGTGCAATTTTAAAATATTTATGACTGGGATAGACATGGGAATAAGGTCAGCCAATGAATAGGCATAGTAACTAAGTCAATGGGAGCTTAAACAGATCTGAGTCTGTGCAGAGAATTGAAACAAACTTAAGAAAGCAGTCTGCTGCTCTGAGAAGTAAATTAGCAGTCTGTCTGGGCTTGTCTGCTGAAATGAAGCTAACTGCTTGTGTTTGCCTGCAACTCTCCTGCCTTGTGTTTACTTGGAAGAACCACATGTTGGTATTGTACATTTATTCATCTATTCTTATGTATATAAAGAAGTTAATGGATCCAGCTGAATCAGCTATCTTTGTGTGCTTCCTGGATCTGAATTTATGCAACAAACTCTGTCAAATTGGTGCAGAGTACAGCTGCCTAGGTAGTAAATAGTGTTGGCTACTTGGTATAAATAACACCACTATTTCATGAAAGTTACACTAGCTATCCATGTGTGCCCAAGTGAAATTCAAAGGTTGTCACCTTTAAAGTTTGGTTTGGGATTAGATTACTTAAAGGACTATCTTTCTCCACTTGTTTCTCCACAACAAATCCAGCAGGATGGACATGATCTGAGTCTATTAGCCAAAAGTGCCAGTGCTGCGGCCCAGGATGTATGCCTTTTCTGCCATAAATCATGCCAATTACATTCTCTTACCAGAAATGAGAATAGCTTGGACTCTGCTGGCCTTTTGTAAGACCCTAAAGATCTGGTTTGATGCCCAGCCTTGAGTGTGTGAAGGGTTCTGAGTTCTGGCTGTGCTAGTGTCTGCCTTGTGATATCCTGCTCAGTTGCCATGCATTATAACTTTTGTATTTGTGATTGGAATTGTTTTCAATTTATTTTATGATTGTTCACTGCCCACAGTCATTTGTTAAGATGCATGGCCATGCAAATTGAATAAATTTTATTTGTACTCCTTTATTCTTTTTACAAATACACTATATTGCCCAAAGTATTCGCTCACCCATCCAAATAATCAGAATCAGGTGTTCCAATCACTTCCATGGCCACAGGGGTATAAAATGAAGTACCTAGACATGCAGGCTGTTTTTTACAAACATTTGTGAAAGAATGGGTCACTCTCAGGAGCTTAGTGAACTCTAGTGTGGAACTGTGATGGGATGCCACCTGTGCAACAAATCCAGTCGTGACATTCCTCGTTCCTAAATATTCCACAGTCAACTGTCAACTGTATTATAAGAACGTGGAAGTGTTTGGGAACGACAGCAACGCAGCCACAAAGTGGTAGGCCACGTAAACTGACGGAGCGGGGTCAGCGGATGCTGAGGCACATAGTGCAGAGGTCGCCAGAGTCTGCAGAGTCAATCACTACAGACCTCCAAACGTCATGTGGCCTTCAGATTAGCTCAAGAACAATGTGCACAGAGCTACATGGAATGGGTTTCCATGGCCGAGCAGCTGCATCCAAGTCATACATCACCAAGTGGAATGCAAAGCGTCAGATGCAGTGGTGTAAAGCATGGCACCACTGGATTCTAGAGCAGTGGAGACACGTCCTCTGGAGTGACGAATCACACTTCTCCATCTGGCAATCTGATGGACGAGTCTGGGTTTGGCGGTTGCCAGGAGAACGGTAGTTGTCTGACTGCATTGTGCCAAGTGTAAAGTTTGGTGGAGGGGGGATTATGGTGTGGGGTTGTTTTTCAGGAGCTGGGCTTGGCCCCTTAGTTCCAGTGAAAGAAACTCTGAATGCTTCAGCATACCAAAACATTTTGGACAATTCCATGCTCCCAACTTTGTGGGAACAGTTTGGAGCTGGTCCCTTCCTCTTCCAACATGACTGTGCACCAGTGTACAAAGCAAGGTCCATAAAGACATGGATGACAGAGTCTGGTGTGGATGAACTTGACTGGCCTGCACAGAGTCCTGACCTCAACACGATAGAACACCTTTGGGATGAATTAGAGTGGAGACTGAGAGCCAGGCCTTCTTGTCCAACATCAGTGTGTGACCTCACAAATGCACTTCTGGAAGAGTGGTCCAAAATTCCCATAAACACACTCCTAAACCTTGTGGACAGCCTTCCCAGAAGAGTTGAAGCTGTTATAGTTGCTAAGAGTGGACCGACGTCATATTGAACCCTATGGATTAGGAATGGGAGGCCACTTACAGTTAGTTCATGTGTGAGTAAAGGCAGGTGAGCGAATACTTTTGGCAATATAGTGTAACTCAAGGCAGCGAACATATCCAACAGACCTTTTTTCTCCTATTTTCCCCACAAGAACCCAAATAAATAAATTCTAATTGTTATAGAACTATGAGATATGAATTGAAAATCCTTGATATATTAATACCGGTAGGTGTACCAGCAGTTTAAAATGTTTCATCTCCTATCTGTTTTTCAAAATAGGAAGCTTGTATTGAGCTTCTGGTTTTTCAGATCCATCCAGTGTAATCAGTAGGTAAACGCTTGCAAACAACAACTCAGTCACTGTTAAACTGAACTATGACAGCAAACTGTTGCTGACAAATTTGTGCCGTTTTAATATCAGAGCGTTTGTCGTCTTAACCATTGGCTACAATAATTTGCATCATTCTGCATTACAAATTATGTTTGAGTGAAGGAGAAGCAAACAAAAAATAGAACACTGTGATTCTTTTTTACACAAAACCCCCTTTTCTTTCTTGCTAATCAGAAAGAACAAAGGGTAATTCTCAGCTCCAAAGCCATGGGCAGCTTCAGAGTTAAGATGAACAATGGGTGCGCTGTGTTTAGGTGTATACATTTCCATGGAAAAATATATTGGCCCCAATTCAGAGATTTTTCTGTGCTGGAGTGGGAAGCAAGAAGACTACTGCTTGTGAAGACCTTTCCGGCCAGATGGTCAATGCAGTTAGCTTTCAAAACTAAAGCAGAAGAGGAAAGGGATCAGTCCTCATATTCCAAACCACACTGATCCCTCTGTTTTTGGTTCTGTCTGTTTGTGCGTGTCCCCATATATCTGCAATTCAGGAACACAACACAAGCAGTCTGACTTTGAAAGCACAATTCTCTTTCTCCACACAGCATTTATCACACAGACAATATTTTTCCAGTTTACATATTATCCCAATAAAACCTGGACAATTTTTATTTTTATTGTTTTTAGTGAATGTCGGCAGTTTTTTGGGGGGGGAGGGGGGAATGCAGTCAATTAATGCTAAAGTAGTGAGGCTTGATGGCTAAAGTGCTAGAAATGGGGAGATTTAGGACATTTTCAACAATTTCCATTCTTTCACTGAGTCTCAATAAACATTATCTATTGCTTCTACACTACTATCATTGAGACAAAATAATCTCATAATATCCGTAATTGCTTCAAGCACAGATTGCCAGCTGTAGTTTCTTAGAAATTATGACATTTCAGCAACAATAATATAAATCCCCCTTCTGACGAAAAAGTGAGATTTCAATCTCAGAGAAGTCTGATTTCACAACTCCCTCTTAGCAAAGATGTCACCTCTCCCGTATCAAAAAGCAGGAATTAAAATAAAGAATTCAGTGGAAGAGATTTTGGATCTCCAAATTTCACAGTCCACACAGACTTTCATTTTTGCGGGAATTTTACACTAGTCTTGCCACTGATACAAATAATGCCTCTTCTTAGAGAAAGAAGATTGGGCTGTTGTGTAAGCCATTACCAATTACAGTTAAAGGGACCAATTGAACGTTAAGTGAAGAAGAGAGCTAGATTTCTTGGTCTAATCACTAAGAACATTTGTCTTATATTCAACCTATCTGGTTTTAATCTGGGTTTTGGGAAATGTGTTCATTAATTATTATAATAATTTCATTGGAAGAAGTAAGAGATTACTTCTACTGAGCATCTGATGGACGCACCTGATGGACCCTATGGGATTTCAGACGGCGCTTGGAGAAATACCTGACACTATCGCCCACAATCCGGTGGAGTCCTTAGTCGCTGCTTGGAATACAGCGGCGGCGGGGGCTCTAAACCAGATTGCGCCTTTGCGACCTCTCCGTGGCAGCGGATCCAGGAGGGCTCCTTGGTTCACTGAGGAACTCCGGGAGATGAAGCGCCAAAAGAGACGCCTAGAGCGCCGCTGGAGGGCCAGTAAATCTGAGTCAGACCGAGCACTGATGAGAGCCTTTATCAGGACCTATCTCGTGGCAATAAGGGTGGCGAAATGTGCACATTTTGCCGCCCGTATCGCCACGAGATAAGTCTTAATAAAGGCTCTTAGCAGTGCTCAGTCAGATTCGGAGTTACTAGCCCTCCAGCGTCGCTCTAGGAGTCTCTTTTGGCGCTTCATTTCCCGGAGTTCCTCAGTGAACCAAGGAGCCCTCCTGGATCCGCTACCTCAGAGAGGCCACAAAGGCGCAATCTGGTTTAGAGCCCCCGCCGCCGCTGTATTCCAAGCAGCGACTAAGGACTCCACCGGATTGTGGACGATAGTGTCAGGTATTTGTCCAAGCGCCGTCTGAAATCCCATAGGGTCCATCAGGTGCCTGGGGCGGAAACACCTAATCAGTTCCCCCTCCCTACAGTGGGGGATTGGTTTCTGAAAGTCAATGCACCATACACTCAATCTGGGTGGGGCTGGACCTCA